TTAAGTGTTTACAATCAGATTGCTTGGAAACTAGAGAAATGTCTATTGAAACAGTGAATTCAAAGCATATGTGAAGTATGCTAGAGGAAGAGGAACTCGTAATACTAGATTTTGAAGTATAGGATAGTGTGTGTGTGTGTGTGTGTGTGTGTGTGTGTGTGTGTGTGTATTGTTTCCTTGAATTCTGAGATTATGTGACCTTTCTTGACCTCTTGTAGGAGGCCAGTATCTTCCCTCTGGAGAGTTGCTAACAAAAATGCTCTCTTGGCATTATCCTGATGATTAAAGGCTGATGTCCTTGTTTGACTTATTACATCTGTTTCCAGGCCATTTTACCTCAATAAATACACTCAGCTGAAGCGTTTATGACCATTAATATTGTATGCTTTTTCCATAGTGCTTTTTCTTAAAACAGTATCTGCTTTGGGAAATCAGTATGTGATTACCATTTTGACTGTTTCAGTAAAAAAACAACTTTTTAAAAAAATATTTTTATTGATTTCAGAGAGGAAGGGAGAGGGATATATAGAAACATCAATGATGAGAGAGAATCATTGACTGGCTGCCTCCTGTACGCCCCCTACTGGTGGGGGGGGGCGGATTGAGCCCGCAACCCTGGCATGTGCCCTTGGCCAGAATTGAACCTGGGACCCTTCAGTCTGCAGACCGATACTCTATCAACTGAGCCAAACCAGCTAGGGCAAAACACACAACTTCTTAATAGATTCATAATTTTTCTACCTTGATTCCCTCCTAATGCTATCATAATGATTTTTAAAAAATATTTCTTTCCACTTTAGTTGGAACATGGTAAGAAGAAGTAGACCAGAAGTTCCTGTCCTGGATGAGGAGCTAGGAGGCTTATTTTTATTTGCCTCTGTTGATTTTTATCAATACAAGTCTAGACAAAGAGCAACTAACAGAATCCCTTCACAGGATTGAAAGATAGAAAAGTAAACAAAATAAAACAAAAATATACATTTCTCAAGAAGCAATTTTGAATATCAGTTTATTTTTTAAGCCTTTAGCAGGGGTGGGGAACCTTTTTTCTGCCAAGATCCATTTGGATACTTATAACATCATTCGTGGGCCATACAAAATTATCAACTGAAAAATTAGCCTGCTATATTTGGTCAAACATTTAATTAACTCACCCCTAATGCCTTGGCAGGGCCAGACCAAATGATACTTGCCGGCCTTATATGGCCCATGGTCTGAAGTATCTCCTCCCCCCTTAAAGATACCTAATGCCTGTTTCTCAAAGTGGCAGCAGCCAGTTTAAATAATAAATTTGTGATAATTGGCTTCCAAATCAAGCTTTTTAATTGCTGGAAATGGGTGTTTTTTATGGATGATGTGTTAAGCATGCTGAGAAAGTTCTAGAAGTTCTGGAGGGTAGGAGTCCCAGGTCAAGGTGCTAGCCACTTCAGTTCTTGGGGAAGCCTTCTTGGCTTCTTGCTGAGTCCTCACATGGCCTTTCCTCTGTGACACCAGAGAAAGACTTCTGGTGTCTCTTCCTCTTATAAGGACAGGGATCTCATTGGATTAGGGCCCAACTCTTATGACCTCATTTAGCCATAATTCTTCCATAAAGACCCTATCTTCAAATACAGTCACATTGAGGTGTAGGGCTTTAACCTATGTATTTTGAGGGAACACACCTGGAAGTGAGTTGTTTTTTCTGTCCCACCTTTAAAATTTTCATGAAAGGGCTTTGACTGGCCTAGGATCCATTAACTGAAAGGTACCATTATTGGCCCAACTTGTTTCAGAGCTTACTTCTTGCCAATATATGGCTTCTACTTAAGGAGCTAATGCTCTGAAAAGTTTTCATATGTTAAATATATAGTATTATAAACATATAATATTATACG